CCTCTCCTATGAAGAAAGGCTGAGAGAGTTGGGGTTGTTCAGCCTAGAGAAGAGAAGAGAAGGCTCCGGGGAGACCTTATTGTGGCCTTTCAATACTTAAAGGGGACTTGTAAGAAAGATGGGGACAGACTTTTTAGCAGGGCCTATTGCGATAGAACAAGGGGTAATGGTTTTAAACTAAAAGAGGGTAGATTTAGAGTAGGGATAAGGAAGAAATTTTTTACACTGAGGGTGGTGAAGCACTCGATGATCTTAGAGGTCTTTTCCAGCCTTAATGATCCTATGATTCTATGAATACAAAGTCCCAGTGGAGCAAGTCTGTCCATGGAAAAGGTGGCTTCTGCAGTTCAAGAGTCTGACATGACAGACAGCACACACAAACAAGAAAGCAGCCGATGCTAAGCTTGGAAACAATGCCACATGACACAGCCACTGTGCTTCCAGACCCACGCAGGCTGTATTCTGCAAACATATACAGACTGATTTTTGTCCAAGCAAGACAAACCTTGTAGTGCAAATTGTCAAATTAATACTCCTGTATCTAGATTTGGCGTGGCATAAATGAAAAATTATCACCCTTAAAGCTCTCTCAGAAGGAAGACCTAAAGTTGCTTGTAAGGGGAAAGTAAACGGCAGTCAGTGGCATGCTGTAAGGGAAGGAAAAAGAGACTCACTTACTAGTTTTTCCTCTATGGTGGGATTAGATGGTTTCACAAACAAAAAATAGCATCCAGAATGACAAATGGCCAGGTCATAAATAAAGCAACCTAACCATGTTCAGTCTTGATTATCCAGCTGAGACAATTCACCAACTGCACTATGCCTCGCTGCCAGAATTGCTCGTGAACAGACAACCCCATCATACAGAGACACGAGCTCAGGGCTGTCTACTCAGAATTTAAATTATGCTACTTTTCTACTCATATTTAAAATACATACCATATTAGGGACATCATAAGCAACTCCCTTGCCAAAAACTGGTGTAGTTAACCGAGAGTAAACATCCTCTGCATTCAAATCTTCATTTTTACTATTGAAGAGTAGAGCAGCAGCGTCACTACCCAGTAAGTATGTGAACGTCTTGCCAACCATAGTGAAACTGAATACAGGTCCATACTAAGAGAGAAAAAAAAAAACAGTTTATTTTAAATAAGAACACAAATCATTAAATCCATATCTATGTGCAGGCTTCCATACATCACTTCATCTCCTAAGTGTCTAGAGACTTAATAAAGACATAAATATTTTAAACCACATTTAAATTCTGTTCTCAATATACTTACTAGTGATATCTAACATTATAACGAACACACATGATCTTGCACATTTTAAAACCATTTAGTTTAAAAAAAATGTAAATAAAAGATCAATTACACTACAAAAACTAGGAGGGAGATGAGAGCACATATAGCCTCCAGTCATCTACAAACACTGTCTCAAAAAAATCTGGATTTGGAGTTATGCATAGGTAATTAAGAGCAAGTAAGATTTTGAAGTTTAAAGGTCATCTCCAGCAGATCTTCACATACTAAATTCGGCTTTCTCTAAGCTAACCAAGCTAAGATTTAAGCTTATGTTTTAGACAACGTGAAACAGATCAATAAACCTTATTTCATTTAAGGCTCTACTGCCTTAGTCCATTTCTTCTGGGCTGTTACAGTATAAAACCTACTGAGGTTTTATACACCAGCCCTTTTAATATTGGAGAGGGCCTTAACATGCACCAAATCGCCTACAGAGGTGGTCGGCTGCATTCCAGCCCGGTCACAGATTGGGGGTCAAAGAGTGAGATTAAAAGTCCCCAATTAAGTCAAGAAATAACGTCATGAAAACGGCTTTTTAATTAACTTGTGATTCAGCTATGAGCATTACCCAAATACACAGACATATTTTTTTAAATCTGAATCACGAGAGATGTCTCAGAAAAAACTGTTTCTCTAACAACAACGTACATAAAGAGATCTGAAGAAACCAGAGCCCACTCTGCACACTCCATTCCATGTTCGAGGTGGTAAATGAGGATGAACTGCTTTTAAACAGGCTACAGATAGAGAACTTAACAGATGATAGATACACAAAAATATTTCAGCATATGCTCAGCCAGTTATGTAGGAACACGTACCTTGTCATAAGCATTTTCCAAAAATTCAACGGGACTTTTTCCAAATGCAATTGCATGCCCAAGGAAAGGGATGCTTGATGAAATATAAGGCGGGTATTTCTGAGGAAGAAAGAGAAAAATAAACATTGACTTTGCTTCAGACAGTAATAAGACCATGTCCATTTACATAAAACTAAACACAGGGGAGGCTTTAGACATGTTTTGCTTAAACTTTTCCGTGAAAAGGCCAGCTTTTGGACAACGGATTATTTTTTTAGATAGAGTAACTGTGAGCCACATTTAAAAGCAGCAGAGGCTAAAGTAAGATGCACACGATTAAGATTCTTGCTAACCTGCCTCCGAAAGCAAAGCACGAAGATACTGCAATTGGAAAGAAGGCAGTCAGAAACAAAACCGTGTTGACGATTTGTTAAACAGTCCCCCAAAAGCATCAGCCTCCGTTTAGCAACGAGTTTCATACGTAGGCGGGAGCCTCCTTTTAAGCTGCACCGATGAAACGGTACCGGGCACGGCCTTTGCCTCTACAAAACCTAAGCACCGCTGCTTCACGCGGTACCAACCAGCTGGGCGAAGGGAGAAGCCAGTGCAACATCCCCCTCAGAAACCGTCCCTGGGGGGTGCTAGGAACGCTCCTCGCTCGCCAGAGCCTACGCCCGCACGCCTGGATTTTACCGCCCGTTCCTCCGCGCTCCCCAAGGGCTCTCCAGAGGTGAGCGCGCCGCTGCTCCCCCG